AAATTCAGCTACTCGAAATGCCCGTTTCTCTCCGCGCTCCTCCGCGTACAGAAGATCACATCTTTTGCAATGGCGATGTTAATTATACACGCGGCGAGATGTGTTTCACTCGCGCGCGGTAAGGTTTCTCCGGGCAATCGTACGAACGGCACACGCGCGCTCGAGCATATGATTTACAACATAAAGGAGAAAGCGTAAAAAGTGTATTCCCGCTTTTCCGTGTCATCTGCGCTAAGCGGCCTGCAACGAGAACCGCGGCTATGATTTGAGCACGCACGCGATGCAACGGAAGCTGCAAGGAAAACGCGGCAGCAAACTGGCCGCGTATATATCGCGCGGTTAATACGCGAGGCTCTCGGCGCTCTACGTGTATATATCTCTTTCAGAAAACAAAAACAAGAAACAAGAAAAGAAGGAGAAACGCTCGCGTTCGCACAACCGGGGATGCAAGCGCGCCATACGAAGTCGAACGCGGTGCGAAACGAGCGGGCGAAGCTCCCGCCGGCTCGCAAGAAAATTTATGACTCGCGCCAGCGATCCGCACGAATCCCTCGATTTCTAATTAGCGCTCGTTACATGCTCCGGTAGACTCGACGATCGGGTCCGTTATCCCGGTCTGCGATCGACGTTGAAACGTTGAAACGCTGGCGAGTTCGATGTCTCGTTAATTGCGCGGTGACCGAAACCGCGACTCGGACTCTCGGTCTCAACTTTACGCGGACGAGGGCGCAGCACAGAGGAAGACGTTGATTATCGACGCTACAAATCGTGGTCTCTCCGGTTTACATTTTTTCTCGCCGGTTCTCTATCGCCACGAGCGAGCGCGAGACCGCGATGTTGCTAAGTAACGCCGGACGCATCATCGCGAGCTCAAGCCGCTCTTTAACCGCCGTCCCTCGCGTTAATCCCGGGCGACGGGTTAAACAAAACCGCGAGGAGCGCAGAACGCAGAATATCGTCGTTGCGCGCAAGAAATCGCCGGTGCATCCGGCGAAATCCCGGCAAGAAGCCGCGAGTCGAGGACACGCGAAACGGCGGCGACGGCGGCGGCGGCGGCGGCGGCGGCGGCAGCGGCGGCGGCAGCGGCGTCGTGCCCCGCCGTGCCCCGCCGTGCCCCGCCGATGTGTTAACGGCAGGAATGCGGTTCGATTTTTGCGCTGTCCGCTCGGTTGGTGACTCGCCACGGTGCACGCATACGCGCGCACTTAGCGGCGCGATGACGTGACTCCGCCTGTCGGCTCTCTTGTTGCCGACCACCTCGCACAAGGTGGAAATACCGCCGCCACCTTTTTTTCTCTCCGCGAACCGGCCGCCTTCCGTTCGTTTCGAGTCCCTGCACGAGGGGGATAACGAACGCCGGGGTGCAAAAGGTCTCGTGCGGTACGGCGATTATTTTACATTCTTAATATTAATTCCATTTCGAGAAAGCCGCCTGACGGGCTCGCACCTGCTATATATTTCATTACACGCGACGGGATCGATCGGAATAAAGTGAATTATTTCGAAATATGATAAGATAGATGATCGAGATATTATCGTGGCGGGCTTGTTCATTCTCGGTTGCCCTGAGTTAATTGCGCGGTTCTCTCCGCTTGTTGCAGGAAACATCATGACCAAGGCGGTGCTCGACGTCGAGACGAAGAGGGGATACTGGTTGACGATCTATGCCCAGGATCACGGAGTGGTTCCGCAGAGCTCGAGTCTCCAAGTAAGTTTCAGTAATTGGACTTCGTAAATTATATATAGAGAAATCATTGGAAAAACAAGCATCAAATGGAAACTAACTACAACGTAGTTTTCATTAAACGAACCGTTCTTCCGTCTAATGGCTCTTACCTTTTCATTTCTATTTTACACTCTTTTTCCTATTTCTCGGCCAGTAAATTTCATTTCACGTTCTCAAACGTTTCCGTAGATCCTCGAAAAGAAAAATAGAACAGATAGAGATAAACTGGATACGATTGTATGGCAATATGCCGAGATGTTACATACGAATTTCCTCGCGATTATTTCTCTTTTTTTCCCCCAGTCGTAAATTTAATTTAACGAGTAGGCCTTTGTTCAACGGATAATCAGATGATTGTCTCCGCGCGTGTGCAGGTTTACGTCCAGGTTCTGGACGAGAATGATAACACGCCGTTGACCGAGCTTCCAGTTTACTATCCCTCGGTGCCGGAGAACTCGCCCGCCGGCGTGAGCGTCCTGCAGATCCACGCCTTTGACCGCGACGTCTTGCCTCAGCAATTCGTCTTCACCATCAGCAGCGGCAATCCGGAGGGTTATTTTCTCATCAACTCCACCACCGGTAAGTTTCGAGCGTGCTTATATCGTATCGACGCTGTCTCGCGGTCAGGATCCGGGATGACGGGTCTTTAGCCACACTCGGTAGCCAGTAATGAGTTCAATCTCGCTGGCCGAGAGTTTTAATAGATCCGTTACGGAATCGGGAGATTGGCCGCTTCCATGAAAAGAGATTTCGATCGAATCCACGTTCGTTCGCCGGCCGGAATCGAAGAACGGATCGAGATATTGGCCCCTCGCCGTCGATGATTCCGTGTCGTGAACGTGAAAATTATGTTTCCGACGGATAGCACGAAGGCGCGCGATCTATCTTTATTTTAACGACGCGTCTCTTTCGGATCTGATAACGCGATATATAAGCGCGTCTGAAGATATGTTGTTCCTGCCTCACTTGGCCATGCATGCAAATTCATGTGATCGAACGTCAATCCATATTCATCAGTTCTTTATCGTCACGCTTAGCCTTCCTCCTCGCGTGAGACGCTCGGGGATTATGACAAAACGATGAGAGAGCCCCTATCTCGCGAGCTCGTTCAGATCTGGGACAGCGCCATACCTTTAACTTCAGAAACTTCATAAATAACGTAAGAGGCAGCGTTTACGTTGTTTAGCGCGACGAAATAATGTATGAGAGCGGATGTGGAACGAAATGTAACGGGCGGACAGGAACTTTATATATTCGCGTGTCGGGACTTCACCGTGGAAAAAGTACCGAGTTAAGCTAATAATATAGCGAGGGATGTATTAAAAGGGAGAGATCTGGTTTATTAAAACAGATATTATTTTCGTCCATCGCAAAACCCGAAAATCGATTGAAATAACGTTGGTTCTTTATCTGTTTTTCTGGCACTCAACCAGGCGTTCCCGTCACAAACAACGGACATCTCGTATTCTTCGAAAGTTATTTGCGATCGGTATTAGTATGCAAAATGAAAGTCGGTTATACCGGGAGATGGCTCACAATGGAAAAAGTCGGCCGACGTTTGATTTGTATTCATCGCCGTCGGCCAATCCCCGGAAACTTCCCTTTCGCCAATCCGTTTCGCGTGCTATCCGTCCGCGGAACTTTTAATGTTCGGAATTGTGTAAAAACTTGGCCCCGGACTCACCCGCGAATGGCGATCCTCCGATATTTCACATGCGAGGAGAAAATGGAGCGAAACAGGACGACCGGACGATTCCTTAAAACGGATAAAACGCGACCCGACATGTGCGGTATTGCGGTCGTTCTTCACCGTATGCCAGAAACGGAAATACTTGACTATAACCTATCAATCGTATCGGTTGTAAATGTCATTGGGTTATCATCGGTCAAGTAACGTGAATCTCGTATTGATGTAGCCATTATCGAAAATTAGTCACGGAAAGTCGAAGTACATTCGCGCTACGATAATCATTTTTACCCTCGATCCGCGCTTGTTTGTCCATTTATAAATGGAAAATCCCCCTTGCTTTTGTTTCTCGGTTCTTAAATATTTCATTTATATAACAATAAAATAGTAATCTTAAATATTTCACTTATATAACAATAAGAGTTTATTACTGATAGATTTTCGCTACATGCAAGTTACTTAATCGTTTTACAAAATTTAAATAAAAGATATTGGGAAAATCGTGGAAAAACAATTAGCAATTGATGCGCGATTATAATAATGGCATTTATATGTTGTATAATAAAGAAAAAGGAGGCGAAGAAGATCTTGGGAAGCGTTAAGATAACCGAATATTGAGAGAGGAAGTTTTGATTCTAATTAATTTTCGGAATATGCTATTAAAGTATTATACAGTGATTATAGATTAAAGCTCTCAATTTCGATATTATGCGATATCCAATATCATATTTTATACAAAATGTAGGTCTGTAGATAGAATCGTTCTCACAACGATCTTTTTTGTCTCGTAAAAGTAGTCGCAACTCACTAAATTATGAAATAAAAAGAACCTTATCTTGTCGTTTGTTTCTTTTATTTCCTTCGACAAGACAATCATTTTATCCTTGATTACATCGCGGATAAGGTGATTGCATCACCGACGGTTGCGTCCATCGACAGATTGGATCTTTTTAGAAATAGTCCATCGAGCCGGACCCCGTCCGGAACGAAACATTATTCCACATTTGGCATTTTGAATCAAAATAGATTGATAGACGAGAAAAGTATGAATATTCATCGCGGACACACGAATTCGATGTAATATATATCGGAAAGTATCAGCGTCGGGGCTCCGTCCCAGTTTCCCGGTGGCGATGCCACTCTACCAACAGCAATTACTGCAACGTAATGCAACGGACGGACCGAAGGACGGACGGCTTCCAAATTCCACGTAATACCGATTAAATTGGTTTCCGCCACCCCGAAGAAGAGGCATCGTCGATTTTATTGCCGGTCGCCGTGTTACGTGTAGCCTCTTCGCGCGCGACGGGAATTATTATTTATCAACGGCGCGAGGCCGTTTAACGACATCGCTCGATTTTTCCATGCAGCCCGAGTCTCGCCGGCCGTATCGAGTTGCTCAGTCGCAACACAATCGGTCGGTCTGGAAGCGAGATAAACGGATGTTTTTGCCTCCGTTGCATTTACCTCCGCGGAGAGCGCGATATATCGTCGGCTGGCCTCTACGGCAAATACGCCGCAGGTTCCTATTTACTCGACGTTATTACGCTCCGCCGAGAGGCCCGGCGCGTAACGAAGCCGTGACCACGAAAGGAATTGTGGTTTTTACTAATGACGATACTATGATAGCCCGGAATCATCGTGAGGTCAAGGGAAACTACTGGATACACGATACTCCTCGCGCAGCGGGCGTAAAATTTGTTTTTTTTTGTAAACAGTTTTTTTCTCTTAAATTCCGTTTTTACATCGATTAATTAAAAATTAGTAAAATTATATAATTAAGGCAAAGTATGGCTAATTTATTATCTACAATGTCATTCGTATCGATGAAAAAAAGCATTTTATGATTGCAAATTAATTCTAGAATTTATAGTAGAATTGTCTTTCACAGATCATTAATCAGATAAAATAATTTTATATTAATTTTATACCTTTTTTTCTTGCATTCGTAATACCAGCAACGTAATATGAAAACTGATTAGCCAACGCATATATATTTTTACGAGCCAGAACTAATTACTATATTATAACACATAATCGTATAATTAAACGGATAATTACGGTATTATAAAGGTGTGGTCAAAGTGAGATTCGAAGTAACTGGTTATGTTAAGGAGTTTCACGCGTATCTTTTTTTTTTAATTTTTTTAACAAGAACGAAATAGCGAAATATTCGACTAGTACTTCCCGTCATCTTATCGATTTCAATTTTAAATTGTAGTCTGAATTATCTTAGATTTCATGTTAAGTCGACAATATTGGAGAAAAATTAATGACCACCGTTTTTTTGCCGAAGCGTGGTTTTATCACGAGCTAACAGTAATATTGTTTCGCGACCCATATTAGAGGGCCTCCATCGTAAAAGCATCCTTTTCAGGAAGAATCGCAGCCGGCCGGGTCCTCGTTTCCGCAATTAAATCACCGGATCACTCGATTAATGCATCACTTCCTCATCACGCTTTCGCTACGCGCAGACACCTCTTTCGCATTCGCGCGCCATCAATCATCGCGGCCGCGGCCTCTCGATCAATTTTCGCGAGCGTCCGATAACAAGCAAGGAGACCGTGTGTGGGGGGATTTTTTAATCTTCCGGAATGTGTCGCGCCGTGTAAGAGACGGCGCGGCCGATGGAAAAGGTCAGCCCGGCAAAAAGGCTACTCCATCATGCGCTCCAGAATGCACGCTGAAATAACGCGTCACGGTATATCGCATACACGTGCTTTACGATTACACCCGTCGTCCCTCCGCCCTCATTAACATTATTATGTGGCACGAGCCGCGGTGTTGTTTTATGATCTAAGACTATGCACCTCTGATAATATACGCGCAAATAAGTTGCAAAAGTGTACCCGCACGTTGCACGCTGAAAAAAAGCAAAAAAAGAAAAAAGTAATGAACACGTTCCTCTTGAACGAGCAATGAAAAATATTAAAAAAATACACCCGGCGGTGTTTTATTTCCGACATTTTCGTCGCGAATGCGGAGCGTGTACGTTATCCGTTGTACGTTTACGCTTTTCTTTAACGAAGTATCTCGGGAAGTGAGACGCGGCTTACGCCGAAACGCTCTTCGAACATGCATACACCCGGATGTTAACCGGCGAGGGTGGGTGGACCTCTAGTTACAGCGGCACGTAGCTAAGATATGACGATGGAGAGAACAATGGCGGTGTTATATGGCAGTACGAAATTAGATTAGATAGATCTTGGCCGAGTAATGCGACCTCGCCTGCGGGAACGAGCTCGCATAAACGAACGGCACGTCGTAAGCGTTACACGACGTTGTACCTACTCCGACTAATCGCACAGTTAGTCGCGCTTTCGTCGCGTATCGCGTCACCACGCAAAAATGTTCCCTCGCGCCGCGATAGGACGACTAAATAGGACGTAAAACCCGGGGTATTAATTAGACCCGCTAAGCTCTGGCGGCCCGGGCCACCGAGGGTGGGTCGCATTCAGAAATCTCCGGCTTTTTGTTAAACCGACCCCCGAGCGTTGCAAATATCCCCGGCTAATTTCATTAATTACGCGAAAAGTGGAGAAATATGAGATTTTATTTATTTCGTGGATGTACGTCGCTGATTGCCAGCGGTGTTATCAACTATAAACGGTCGCAATTCATATCAATTCGATTAATGCATCTAGCGCCGTTTTTAATAACGGCAACGAAATTGGAGAAGCTTTATCAAAATATCAAATTGCCTCTCCCTCGCTTTTGTAAAAGTTTCGTATATATATTATTTTTGTCTAATGGGATAGTCCCGCATGACTGAAAGGACTCGACTTTTTCGAGGGAGATTTTCCTAGTTAATCAACCCTTTGGATTTTTTTTTTATTCGTGTCGTAAAACTTGCGACTTTCTTTAATACGAGCGCGAGACCCCGGCAGGCAAATTTCATAAAACGCTCGCGGCGCCGCTCGTGAAAGACAGATAATCTTAGCTCATCATAAGGGAATAATCCCGATAAAACTTTCTCCCAGCGAGAGATGAGCGGCCTTTAAGCGGCCTTCCAGTTGCTCCGGCGCCGTTAACCCGGAAGCATTTTTCACTATCATCATAAAATATTACTCCGTCGAGCGTTCCGCCCGGTGCTTCAAGAAAAACGTCCTCGCGACGTCCATTGGGATCTACGGGAGAAAATAAATTCGTCGTTATGCCAGGCGGAATTCTTATTTTTGCGACGTTGCGCAGCCGCTTATCATTCGCGAACGTCGACCATCGTAACATCGCCGCATCGATAATATCGTAAATAATATCGTAAATAATTTCTTCAACTCCCATCGTTGATTTCCGATAACGAATTTTCCGCTCCGGCCTTATTCGCGGTCTCGCACACGCCCCGCGGCCTGCCCTCGACGCACGCGAGCGCGTGGGCGTGCATTCCTATCAAGCCGAGGTCGACATGGCCCAGAGGGTGAGGAACGAAAACGAAAAGCAATTATTTAAATGCGTTCTACAGCGCCAGAGCTCTGTACGTTCGCGTTCACGTTCGCGTTCGCGGCTCGATCGAACGGCACTTCCCGCAATTCCCCTTTTTTCCTGTCTATCGCCACGTTTCCGCTTTGCCTCTCCTATCCCCCTTTTCCTATAAGAGAAACGTGACCGTCGCGTCTGAAATTGTCGAAATTCACGAAGAAAGAGCGCAATTAATCGCGACTCGAAATGGCGCGAGGTCGATTAAATGACAGATTAAATTCGAAGATTTCGCACTTCCGCAAAATCACTTTTGCGCTTTCGTTCCATTCGCGCCTTCAATAACGATGTCTCGCTGTGCAACGGTTTAACCGACGCAACGGACGCGTTTGGCCAACGAAAATGTGGAAGTGATTCGCTTTAATCACGATGCATCCCGTATACGTATCTGTTGCGAGTTCGAATTGACACCATGCTAATCATAACGGGGCCGCAAAGCAAAAGTTACGAGAGCCGGCATCGCCTTGTCGGCGTGGTGAATCGAAACTCCGGCGCGGAACGACAACGGCTTCCTCGTAACTCGATTAGCAGCTCGTGATGTAATATAAAATCTGGGCGTTACGAACATTGCCGTCACCGGAAGCCGTAAGACTAATAAAAAAAGGCCGTCGCTCTGGCTTTATAAAAGCGCAGTCGTGTACTGCAAAGGGCTTCCTTTTTTTTTTGTTTGGCGGTGTCGCTTTGTTGCAACGCATCTCGTGAAGGCTCTTTGCGCGAGGCTTATCTTTATTAGGCAAATTTCTGCGGATCGCACTTGTGCCGCTCAAAAATATCCCCTCTCCATTACCTCGCTTGTCCCATTAATTATTTTATGAGCAGCGTCGTTCTTCTAAAATTGGCGGGACGCGTTCGAGCTGTCATCTTCCTCTTCCACAGTTTTCCAAAGTTTTTCACAAAGTGGTTCGCCGGAAGAAAGAATTTCTCTCCTCTCCCGCCGATAGCTTCGCGTCTGCGAATTTTTGCTCAATCGAGTTTCCAAGCCGGAGTCCGCGCCCATGATAAAAGGGATTCCGTGGAACGTAAAATAAAGCTCAATATGAGCAGAGCGGGGTGCGGTTGAAAGAGAGACGGGGGAGGAGTACTCCGCGCGTCGCACAGCAAAATCTGAACGCTATAATTTCGTCGGGCTTGTTCCATCGGGCCGATCTTTGTCTCGGTAAATGGAGGGCCTTCCGTTCGCTCGCAATTCGAGGGGTCGTGCCGCGTTCGCTCGTCCTCCCCCAGGGAGGTTTTATCGAGGCAGAGGTCATCGTGCAAAGTGCCACCGTTTTACTTTCCTACCGCATGGCACGGAACGCCGATCGCGTTATTTATTAATCGTTGAACAATCTACTAATCTCTGCGGCATTCCTGTTGCAGGTCTTATCAGCACCAGCGGCAGAAAGCTCGACCGTGAGAATCAGGCGGAACACGTGTTGGAGGTAAGTCAGCTACATTTGGACTTTCTTTCTTTCTTAAATTAGCAATGTAATCGCGAGTGAATTCGAAGCGCGAATAAATTTCGCGGAAATGAAAGATGTTCTGAGCAAATTGTATCTTCGTAATCGGCGTCATTTAGACGACGACGGTCTAATCGGTTTCAGAATCGTTAGAGCAAGTCGTGTTCCTTAATGGCACGCTAACGCCAACAGCTGATAGATGGATTAATGCTGCATTCTCGTTCCGCTTGTCCATTCGTTCCTCGTTTCTCGACGATACTGTCGATAAAGTTTTAGAACTGTCGCTTTTGCCTTCTCTCTTCGCTCCGTCTGCTCCGTCGGCACTCTCTCGATATTGTCGGAGTGGAAATGAGGAAGAAAATCGCATCCTCCGTGAGATTGAAAAGTAAAATGAGGAAAATCTGCTGCCTCCGACGATAAAAGCGAGAAGGCTAACTTAAGGTGAGCGCGGTGAGAAAAGGGGTAGTATGAACGGAGGGCGAGAGAGGTCGAGAAACGAATGGACGACTTGGGACAACGGATGGAAAGTAAGAAGAATAAAAGCGGCAGAAGGAGGCCGAGAGGTCGGGGGGAGGCTTCGGATAGAACAACGCTGAGAAGGGTACAATGGTTTACGGTAAGAAGAAGAAGGGTCGTAGGGTGAGACACCGGGGGAGGGGGGAGGCGAGACATTTCTCTGGGGAAGGTCGGCGGAGTCTCCCGGGGAATTTCTACCTGCATCGGGATTAAAGAAAGAGCTCGCGATAGTCTCACGTCGTGTACGGGCGGTAGACACTGAAATTTCACCGGGGCGATAAAAGCAGTGAAAGAGACGATACCAATTTCACCGAGAGGCTTCCATGTAGACTACTAGATTGATAAACGGTCCCACCTTATTTCCTGCGTCTTCTGCCACTGCCGCAAAAGGATCCCATTTTGAGAATTGCGATATAGCTGATGGACTTCCAGTTCCTTCCTTGAGGTGTCGTAATACATTTCAAAGAGTTCTATTAATTAAATGTAAAATATAGGAAAAGCTGTTTTTCATGAATAAACTAAAATGACGACGTGAACGAAGCTTCACGTATGGCAGTCTCGTAAATTTAAAAAATTCACGCATTCATTTTACTATGGACGAAAGTTATTAGTATATGTCTTTTCAGTTTTTATTGCAATTCTCTACTTACACCAGCGCCAATTCTCTTGTCCGACAACACTTTGGCGTTGTCGCGCGTTCAGGGAAGCTTTGCAAATAAGATCGCAGATAGTTCTTAACTTCGTTCCGTTTCTGAAAAAGAAAAACATTTCACAACGTTTCCCACTAACTTGAACTCTGACTTCTCCTCGAAGTAGTAAAAAGCACCACGGTTGTGGCATCTAAGTGCTTATGCCGTCTGTAAAATTTCATAGGAATCTTAATGCGGCAGATGTCGTAGCGTTCGCAAAATTATGATTATTGCGGCGTGTAATGCCGCAAGTTCCGAACAAATATGAAGCAATTTGTAGGTTTATTTTTATGCGTATTTTTAAACGCGTTTGAAGATAGCTGAATTATTCATGACAATTAAAGTAGTTCTGGTAGTACAAAATCATATCGGATACTATTAAAAAAAAAAAAAAAACGATTCGCGCGGAACATTGCAAAGCGACAAAGTATTTCGTAATTAACACAGACATATACTCGTTCTAAATTAAATCGCACGTTATTGGTTTTAATGGCCGTACTCTCGTTCATTCGTATGTCGCACTTAAATTTTCAGCGCATCTCGTCGACCAAGCAAATTAAGCGTACCCCATAAAACCAGGAAAATCAAATCGAAAATCAAATCATTTATATCGTAGCTTTGCATTCTAAACCGTTGCGTAATGCGTTAATATTTATCATTAATAGAACTTTTTGGCGAAACTCAGAATTATTTATTTTATTTCGAGACAAATAACATTTAAAATTTACGTCAGAACAAATAATATTTTCCGGAAGACGCACAAGCAGCGGACCCTCCAGTATTTAAGTTTGCCCTCGTGTGGGTTCTGATTTCGTTAGATATCATTACGGGAATTCTCCGTCGGATCCGTGCCGCGACCAGGAAATCACTTTAAGAGGCTTTGATCCTCCGATGCGGGTTGTTAACAGCGTGTTTGTGTTCGTAACCGAGTTAAATGAGTCTTGGCTCTAGAAACAAGAGTTCGTGAAAACGATCGCCTCTCCTGTGGCCCGCCTGCCACCTTCTTGCGGAGAAACTTCGACAATTTTGCAAAGTCCCTCTGCCACGAATAATTAATGAATGTACAGAGTTTTCTCTTTTAGCGCTTTCTTTTGGAATATAAGCCTCATCGATTATCTCTTCGTTATCAATCACGCGGATTAATTTACGCTCATTATGCTTCTCAACCGGAGAACGAGGAAATTTTTAACATTCATAAACAGTAAAGAATTTTCGTATGTATTCTCGAGTGTAAACATTTGTGCGAGAGAGACAGAAATTACGCGTGTCACATGGGGGGGAAGGGTCATGAGGCATGAGATTTCTTTACCGATATTCTGGCTTTTACAAAAAGCAAACGACATACAAACTCTCTCTTTCTCTCTCTCTCTCTCTCTCTCTCTCTCTCCTCCTCCTCCTCCTCCTCTCCTCCTCTCTCTGTATTAGTTAAAACTCCATTTATTTTCGGATAGCAGTTTGCGAGGCTATCGTGCCGTAACCATAACTATGCCGAACATTGGCGAAATTGATATCGGTCGAAACAGCGATATTGGCAGCACGCTCATCTAAACTGGGCGTATATCCTGTAGATTCCGCGTTGGATCGTTAGATTTTCTTTTTATGGCGCATCCGCTCGCTCGCCAAACTCGTTTATCTGTCATCGATATACCGTTTACCGCGTATGGCCCGATGTCAAAGGGGCGAGGTGGCTGGCTGGCTGGTATTTTGGCATGAAAGGTCAACCGAGGTTACGCGACCCGGTGACCGGGGTAACCGTGTCCCCCTTTTTCATAATTCCACGCATAATTTACGAGTCCCGGATGTATACTCGTGGCTCCACCACGAGGAAACCGTCTCTCTGTGCGTATCTCGCGCCGCCAGGCGCTTTTTTTGCATACCGTAATACGCAAAGCGCTCGATGAATCTAAAATATTAGATAATAAGCCCTCTCGCTTTCGACGGCGCGTGTAATGACAACGAATCACTTCACGTTCCTATGTCAGTCGGACAGACTGAAATAAATCGAATTAAAATCCGCGAGACGCATAAGTAAAAAGCCCATCAAATTCACGAATATGCGACAAGTGCTCGCTGGAGGGCTTTATTGACATGACCATTACGTTATCCGTTTCCGACTAGGCTTTTCGACGCGCTTCAGACACTCCTCCCGATATTCGAAGTAAGCCAGAAAGTTGCTTACCACCGTAGAACAGGCTCTCTACTAGGTGCCGCTTCAAGTATCTGCCTGAGAATATTTCATCGAAATTTATGATCGACCGGGCGTACTTGAATGCAAATCGAAGTCGCCCGATAACAGATAATCCGTGAAGCACGTAAGAATCAATTTTCACTGAGCGTGTCACTCTTGCAGACGTTGCAGCAAATTTTTGAATTAATTTTCCATCGTTCCGCGAAAGAAAGCGGATGGGGGTAATCTTGATGAGAAATTGAGGAAGTTAAAGACGTTTCAAAAACGCGACGGCAGATTGATTGCCCGGAATCTCTATTTAGTTATGCAAATATCTTTATCGCGCTGTTTATTAACTTCAAAATGAAGTTTCTCGAGCATAAGTGCCAAGCAGTAAATTACTTTTAATCTTTTCAAGGAGCCTTGTTAAAAAATGCAGTTTCTCTACGATTACTTAATCACGATGGCGTGTATTTGCGCGTGAATTCCGACGATTTGCGAATCATTGCGAGCCACCCGCTTGGTACCGAAAGCTTTTTACGGCGGTTCTTCCTTAATAAGGCGTGATTTTTCACGCTTTCTCTCTCTCTCTCTCTCTCTCTCTCTCTCTCTCTCTCTCTCTCGACCGCGACGTCGAAAAATATATCCCCTTCTTTAGGATACACGCGGACATATTTCAGACTTGCCACCGTGCACGATCGGTCGTTTTCAACATGCGCCGTATATTAATAAGGGCGGTTCGGACAGGCCTTAGGCGCTATCTCTCACGAGGTTTCTTCCACAGGTTTGCGGCGGCTGCGCTTTCGCTCAGACGCGACGCGTAATGCACGCCGATTCCCGACAACGGCAAGCCATAAAGCGAAGACGAATGCCGCGCTCGTTCAGCGTCTTTCAATGTTTAAACGCTCGAAACGCGTGATTCATTCCGCATAGACGGACGCGAATTTTATTATTAATAATTATTTTGTACCGATGTTTCAGTCCTACATGTAATTATTCAAGGAAAAACATTGCCTCGCGTTCGATTCAACTTGTAACTCCGCTTTTTTATTTTACTTTAATTTAAAAAGTTTTTAAAAAATGTGATAAATATTAATCAACAATAAGCGACGGAAAATGGGAAAGAATCGATAAACGGACGTAAAGTTAGGGGAGAAGGGAGAGCAACTCTCTTCCACCCTACGTCTTGTTCTTCTCCCTTTTACACTTTTCGTAATCTACCTTTTTCCCTCCCCGCGAAACCCTTCGCTTTGCTTCCGTCTCGTCGGTCAGACACTCAGAAGCGTCGCTGAAGTCGCTTAATTGACTGAATTCTTCCTGGCGTCTTTCGCCCACCGCCGTAAGGATTATAGTCGTGACGCCCAATGTCTGATCCTTCTTGCAACGAAAACTTCCAACTCTGTGCACGTGACGCTATCGTTACAATGAGAGAGTGTTACGCCGTTGTCAAAGAAACCCAGAAACAATAGCGTCTCATGCCTCGTTTGAGGATAAGGAGTTTTGTATCTCGGGAAACATCTGGAGGAACGAACGCAAAAATATCCGTTCGTCTCGCTGCCATCGTATGCGTGAAGTTTAAAATTCTGCATTTAAACACAAAGGAGTAAATA